CCCCCCCTCCCCCCCACCGCCACCACCAACTCCCTGGTTAGTGAGAGACCCTGTCTCAAAAGACAAGGGGACTGTGCCTAAGGAAGGGTACCTAGGACTGAGGTTACCCTTTGGCCTTCACACACATATGCACCTGCATGTTAGATGTATATGCACACATATGAACGTGCAACATACATACAAATACCAATTCCTGCTTTGTGGTATAGCTGTGAGACAGTGGCGAGAGGAAAAAAGGAGTCTTAGTTAACTTTAAAAAAAAATTGTATGTGTGTGTATGTTTGTGCTGGGATTAAAGGCGTGCGCCACCACTGCCCGGCTGAAGTGAGTCTTTTGACTGGAGGTGATGCTATGTGGAAGAGCAAGCAGGCCTACCTCCAAGTTCTTGCTTAAGTTCTCTCTTTTAAAATATGATTTGTTTTCATTTTATGTGCTTTGGTGTTTTGCCAGCATGCATGTCCTGTGAGGGTGTTGGATGCCCAGGAACCGGCATTATAGGTGGGTGCTGGGAATTGAACCCAGGTCCTCTGGAAGAGCAGCCAGTGCTCTTAACTGCTGAGCCATCTCTCCAGCCCCTTGCTTAAGTTCTTGCCCTGAACTCTACCAATGAATTCCATTCTGTAAGCAGAAATAAATGCTGTCCTTGCTTATGGTCACAACAAACAGAAAGAAACCCTCACAGTTACAATAGTCAACTGTGAAAGCTAGAAACCCCTCACTGGCCAGAAGATGGTGTAACTTAATTGGGGAAAAAGAGAGGCCCAAACCTGCTGGATTTCAGAGTCATAAGACTGTGTGGGCCAGGGATTACAATCTATGCAACACTGTCACCGAAATAAATTCACATGAGAAAGATACGGACCACCACTCCAATGAAGCCAAGAATCTCAAGATTGAGTCCTTTAACTTTTTGACCCGTGGCCAAGAGTGGGGCCTATACCCCAGTGTCTCTTGGCATAGAAGCTCCAGGGCAGGGTTTTTACAAGCAAAAAGCACAATCACATCAGTCTTGGATGAGGGTCAGAGTAACCCTGCGGCATTTGTTTTGAGAGAACCTAATTATTTCAGACACAGCATGGCAATTAATTTTGATTTATACCTTTTTCTGTTATGTTAGTTTACATTTGTTCACATAATCGTTACTTATTTTGGTTACTGCGTCTGGATCATGGTCAGGGTCATGGAAATCCCAAACTGTGTTGCCAAGGCAGACCTGGCTGTCGGGGTGGGGAGTAGAGGGCTGGCAAGTGTGTGCACAGACTCAAAAATGGAGTCAGGACAACTCAGTATGCCATTAACCCTTCTGAGTGTCATGATTTGGGAGTTAAATCTGTTCTGTTGATTCCATTGGATATTTTGGAAGGGACAAAAAAATACTTGACTGAGATTGCTTTATGGATGAGACGCTCTATGGAGGCTAGCTAGCGTGCCACTTGACTGGGATAGATGGTGTGGTTTTATACGCTCTAGTTCACATAGTACCCTACTTATCTGGGTATAATAGATATATATTTTTTGAGATAAGGTGTCAGTTCATAGCTTCGGCTGGCCTGGAATTCATTCTGTACACCAGGCTGGTCTGGAACTCATAGAGGCCCCCGTTTGTTTCCTAAATGCTGGGATTACAGGTGTGCAATACCACATGCAGCTTGTTTTTGCCTTTCCCTAGGTTGGCAGTCAACTCCAGGATCTTTGTCTCCGTCTCCTGAAGGCTGAGATTACAGGAATTTGGGAGATCACACCAGGCTGTTATGTGGGTGCCAGGATTCGAACTCAGCTTCTCATGGTTGTGTGAGTGCTCTTGAGAGCCCTCTCTTCAATGCCATTTAATTACAATTCTAACGGAAGGGGGCGAAGGCACGGCAGCAGAACAACTGGGCGCTCACATCTCAAACTCTAAGCAGGAGGCAGAGAGCACACGGGATGCAGGGAGGCTTTTGAAAGCTTAGAGCCCACCTCTGTGACACACCCACCCCCTCCAAGGCCACACCTCCACCAACTGGGACCAAGTATTAAAACATAAGTCTCTGGAGACCACTCTCATTCAAGCCATCACAAGGTGAGAGTCACCATAGCCACAGGCATTATAAATTTCCATGTCTCTTTGCTTTCAAAATCATGGCTTAGAACTTGCTACAAAGTATGTTTGCCCTGCTGAAGAAGACCAAGGACTATTTCCTAGAGACTTACAGTTTTCCCTCTCTTTTTTTTTTCTTTTTCAAGACAGGGTTTCTCTGTGTAACAGCCCTGGCTGTCCTGGAACCAGCTCTTGTAGACCAGGCTGGGGTCTCAAACTCACAGAGATTCACCTGCCTCTGCCTCCTGAGCGCTGGGGTTAAAGGCATGAGCCGCCTCCCACCCCCATCCCGCCCAGCATGACTCACAGCTTCGCGTCACTGTTTGACAATCATACACCCACCACAAGATTGACTTAAGTGCTAAACTTTAAATTTTATTTTAAAACAAGCAAACATAGTTTCAACATATCATATGCTTTCCTTTATATTTGTTTGTAGGTACTGACCGCAGGATGCAGACCCAACTCCACGTGAGCAGTTAACAGAAACGGGTGTTAGATCTGTGGTCAGAGTGGGGAAAGGTGCAAGAAGCTGTGGTGTCGCTGCATCTTCAGTGCTGAGGGTTCAAAGGATGAGTTCTCTTGGGAGAGCACCCAAGACCCAGGTAGGGCGTTCTACCTGGCACAGAACATTCACAGAGCAGAGGGCCAAGGGATCATTCAAGCGGATCAAGTTGTAAGGACTACTGAATTTAGAAAAGATGTTTGGGGCAGTGACCATCTAAGAGAAGGTGGTGCCCTGCCTAGCCCTGCATTTTCCCCAGCCTGTCAAATCTGTCCATCCAATCAGGGTGCTATCTTGCTTGGACAATGCCAGAAAAAATCGAGGAAAACAATCTAATGTCCCGACTCTTCCCGTTTGAACAGTCTGTGTCAGTCACCAGAGAGCTGGGCTCCTTTCTTGTTCAGTGCATTCTGTGTGTTGGATCTTTAATGTGAGTAGCCTTAATATCCAGGTTACCCTTACGGAGACTGAGGAAAGGCCCTTGGTCTAGTATCAGTATCATGACTACACACTTTCTGGGTAAAGTCTATAGATCCTATTGCAGAGTGATAACCTTGTCAATGTTGGTATTAAAACTTAACTTTTTAATAATCTTGGGATATACCCTTTTGAGACCAGTAAGCCTCATACTCACTAAATAGCCAGGGGCATCAGAGAAAACACACATGTGTGTCTTTATGTAAAGTACCTGAATACACAGACAGTTTGCACACCATGATCACAACACAACAGAGGCCAATTCTGGAACTTTACTAAGCAACAAAATGCCACTGAAAGCTGTGACATAGCCAAGTGACTATGTTCCAAGTGGCAACGGAGTCCCCCAAGCCAGTATTTTCAGAAAAAATGAGGGTTTGAGTGCATAAAAAACATTAGAAAACCAACCATATGACAAAGTGTTCAAAGAAAGCATTTTCCAAATCCTTAGAAAAAAATTTGAAAGGCCTGGCGGTGGTGGCGCACGCCTTTAATCCCAGCACTTGGGAGGCAGAGGCAGGTGGATCTCTGTGAGTTCAAGACCAGCCTGGTCTACAAGAGCTAGTGCCAGGACAGGCTCCAAAACCACAGAGAAACCCTGTCTCGAAAAAGAAAAAAAAAAAAAAAAAGAAAAAAAGAAAAAAATTGAGCTACAGAGTTGGCTCAGCAGGAAAGAGCGTTGGCTGTTCTTAAAAGGACTTGAGTTCAACTCCCTCCCAGTACTCACACTGTAGCTCACCCCACACCGTCTTCTGACCTCCCTGGGCATCGTCATGGCATAGACATACATGCAAACAAAACATACATATACATAAAAAATACATATACATAAAAAATACATATACATAAAACATACATATACATAAAACATACATATACATAAAAACATACATATACATAAAAATACATATACATAAAACATACATATACATAAAACATACATATACATAAAAACATACATATACATAAAAACAATTTTAAAAAAAAACCAACCCTGTTTTTTGAGGCAGGGTTTCTGTAGCCTTGGCTGGCAGGCTGGCCTTGAACTCAGATCTTTCTGTCTCTCTTTGAGGTGACAGACATTGCTACCACGCCCAAATGAGAGCAGTGGTGGTGTGTGCCTTTAATCCCAGTACTCAGGAGGCAGAGGCAGGTGGATCTGAGTTTGAGGCCAGCCTGGTCTACACAGTGAGATCCAGGACAGCCAAAGCTACACAGAGAAACTTTGTCTCGTAAAACTGAGACAGAGAGAGAGAGAGAGAGAGAGAGAGAGAGAGAGAATTGTTTCGCAAACAGCATAAATACTTTACACACTGAAGTCCCATGACTCATTCGGCAGAGGTTAGTAGTCTCACTTGTTGTTGTGCTAAGGAGGAAGGCAGGGGCCATCTGGCCTGCTCACTCTGCTCCACCAGCTCTTCCTCCTCTGAGACCCCACACAACAGTCTAAACACTACATTCACACCAGGAACTACCAATGTTTATGTTAATAGCTAGGTCACTGACTGGGTTAGAATGCAATTTTTTTTTTCCGCTGATAGGATCCTCCTATATAGCCAGGCTGGCCAGGACTCTGCCTCCAGGTGTTGAGATTAAAGCAGTATACACTGCCAACCTAGTACAAACAAGGGTGCTGTAAATAAAAAGGCTCCTCTGTCCCATGAGACCATGACTGGGCTGAGAATTCACCCCTCAACCATACTCCTGGCCTTCCTGGCTCTGAGAGAACACGCGAGATGCAACGGCTAGGTCTGAGGCTTCTAGAAAAACAGAGCATGCTTTGCAAAGGTGAGCTGAAGCAAGAGCCTGTGCTGTAGCTGAGCACGGGCCTTCCTGAGGACTGGGAGGAAGCAACAAAACGATTTTCTTTTTAAAGTTTCTAGACTAAAAAAACAAACAAACAAAAAACAAAGCAAAACAAGAAACCCAAACAAGAAAACATTTTCTAAATAATAATGTCTATTTAACATTTCCTGTCCTACACTGTACAGAAGTTTATAAAAAAGAAAGTCACAAAAATCAAATTACCCCCCCCCCCACAGAGATCCTACCCGAGCATTTCTGAATATAAAGCGCTGGCTTCTTGCTTCAGAATTACCATTTTGAACAAAAGTGTCACAAAATCATCTTCTATAGACTTTTCTGGTAAGATTATGTATTTAAGTTCACATCGATGTGCAAATTAACATAATCTTTCAAGTTTTCTAACTAGGGCAAATTAAAAAACCCACAGTGTACATTAGAAATATTTGACTTTATATTACAGATGAAAATGCCTCTTTTTGACATGCTGGTAGAAGCACCCAGTTTACAGCACAGATAAGAACTTTTCTGAGTCAGTCTATGTTACAACCAGGTACACAAATGTTCAAAAGGCAACTACTACAGATTTCATACTCTAAAAAAATAAAATAGTTTCACTATAAAATGTTTATAAATATCAGCTACATTACACGTTCACAGCGAAGAGTTACAGAAAATTCAGAACATTTATATTTAGTGGCCTCACCGTTGGGCAACTTCTGTTCGAGAAGTGCCTCTGATTTAATATATATACATATATATATATAATATAATAAAGCATTAGAAACTATCTGTCTAAGGACCGAGAGGAGCTGCCAGGTATTTGGTGTTTAAGCCATTAAGTGTATGGGCATTAGGAATGAATCAGGGCAGAAAAAGACAAGAGATGTGAAGATAGATGGTTTCTAATTTTTCCTGAGAACATGTAAGTTATGTTGCTATCGAGACAACTTTAAATGGAACAGAGGATCTCGTGGTGACCCAGTGTGTGAAGTAGAGACCCCGGGAATGTAAGCTACCACTACCTAATATATAACTTGCAAACACCAAGTCTTACAAATTGTATTCAAACAAGGCACATGCCTATACATTTATCTGGAATGCTGGGGTGAACTAGCGGCTAAAAGTGTGAGCTGTAGAACAATACTGTACATTTCGTGGTGCAGATGAGATCGGGGTGAGAAAGGCCTCAGAAAATCAGGATAGTGTGCTGTGGGAAGGGGACACACGCCTGCTCTAACTAGGGCATCTCTGGAGTTACCTGAAGGATTCTGATTGATAGCTCCAAATTAATGATTTGTTTCCACTGCAGAGGAGCGGTATGAATTACAGGTAAAAGTAAGAGTGTGCCTCAGAGGGTGACATCTTAGCAATCCTGACCACGAATCTAAGGATGAAGTTCATCGCACTCCAAACAGGATCTGTTCACAAGGGAGTGCTGCAAACTCTCGCATGCCCTTGGCTACAGTTATCCAGGGAAGGTGCATGAGGGAGTTGGGATAGACTAGTGGAGCATCTTTCAATGGGAGAATTTGGCATCACCTGGAAGAGGTTAATTTCGCAGTGAAAATTCACTTTAAATGATGTATGCATTAATAGACATTACTAAATTGGCCTTCCAAAACACATGGTCTAGGCCTGAGGTGACTCAGACTGAAGTTTATGGCAATTCACTGACTGTAGATTCATAACAAACCATTTAAACGGGAGATAAATGGTGGTTCTGGGAATAGATTCTAGTCTTTCAGAAATTAATTCATGCAAGACCACCAAGTGCAAACATGCCATTTGTCAGAAATACACAGGGTTAGATGCCCAATGGGTGTGACCAACCACAGAGGCAGGCCACTGACAACAGAAGAGCACCCTCTAATGGAGAGCTGTGGAACTGCCTTTCAGTAAGTCCTTGGCAACAGAGGGTGGAGGTGCGATGAAACCAAGCTTGTTACCCCAAGGTCTTCATGTGCCTTCCCTTTTCAAGCCTGAGAAATGAGCACAGTGAGTATGATGCCATGGAAACCAAAGGAGGGTTCTATGTGACTGTGACCAGCAGACTGACGTGACCACTTCACTAGCTAAAGATGTACAATACAGTGTAAATGCTAACCACAAGGATAATAAATTAAGTTAAAAATATATCTTTCTAATTTTGAAATAAATATGATACAAGCATCTCAGCAGAGCTTCCTTCTCCAAGGCTGATGCTGCGGAAGCCCTGCAGTGTTTCACGGCACAAGACTGCTCACTTGATGCGAAGGCAGTCAGCCTAGCATTGTTTTTTGAATAATTAATCAAACTCAGAAGCTTCCCTTATGTGTATTTTTCCCCACTGTCAACACTATCTTTTAATCAACAGAGAAGCTGGTGAATTATAGAGCTCCCAACCCAAAGTGCTCTTAATCTTACTTTAGACCCAACCACCCAACACACATACACACACACACACACACACACACACACACACACACACACGGGACTGGGAGTGCAGTTCAGTAGTAGAGCATCTGTCTGTCTACACTTCCTTCCAGAGGACCTAGGTTCAAACCCTAGTACTGCCCAAACAAAAACAACTTAAAAAAAAAAAAAAAAGAATTTTGCATTTCAGCTCAATATGGTCATTAAATAAACACCCAGAGGCCTAAAAGCCATGATAGAAAATACACGCTGTGAAAGCTTAAAGTGTCTTTGCTCTTTCTCTTTTCTCCTCAGGGGCTCCCAGAAATCAGGATGTAGGTGCATCTGGCTGGGGGCTGGGAAATCTTAGCAACCACACTGCAGGAGAAAGCCCAGCGTTAACCACGGCAGTGCAAAAACTAAGAGGGAAATGATCTTCTCATCCTCACTCTGTCTATCAACTGTCACTCAAGACAGTGCATGCTGCAGTGGGCGCCAGTCTCAAAACACCCAGTCAGGAAAAACAGTTCATCTCCGTGCAAATTTGCGTGTTTTTCCAAAGTTAGTAATAAAGGATGAGCGAAGGTGTTTGTGACACTGAAGTCTAGCTGTGGAAATGCTGTTTCATAAGCTCACACCCATCACACCAGGAATGAAATGAAGACGAGTGCTAACAGCACTTCCTGTGGGCGACCACGCGTCTATGGTTTGTGCAGCTGCTGCTTCAGCTCATCCTACTCAGCTTTCTTAGCGTCCTCTTGATCCGAGGCACTTGAGATGTCGTCATCCGACTGCTCCCCAGAGAAGCAGAGCATCAAAGCATGTGTCTTGTGTGTTATGGTGACAGTACAGGGTCCCTGGGCCCAAGGCTCCCCATCCACCTGCATTGGCATCATCGAGCACTTCAAAATCAGCTGAAATCAGGAAATAATTAGAAAAATGTCAGTTCTAGAAACTATGGGCAGGTATTTCTATCTCCCATTAACTACTACAGGTTCTTAACCTTTGACCTTAAACAAAAATTCATCTGAATATACAGAGACTGTTTAGGGATTCTTTTCTAGTGGGTGTTTTATTTCTTTAGTTGGCAGCTTCCTGCAAGGCCCAGGCCCTGCTATAGTCTATGGAGACAGAGGAGTGACAGAAGCGTGCTGTCTTCCCACACCCACAGCTTGGAAACAGCAGCTACCTACCCGCACTGTGTGTGCTTGTCCTATTCGAAAAGGATTTGCCAGTTTCACTTGGATTTGAGCACAGTGGAAAGACCCATACACTCCAACGACTTCCAGCAAACCATCATCATGCCTAACATTGGAATAAAAAATATGGATTACAGAACACAATGAAATCAAATTATCCACAGATAGCAGTTTCTCTTTTGATAAGATGGGCTATCAGTTTATTTATTTACTTATTCACCTACTCATTCATCTGACCACCTGATGTGGGATTCCCCTCTGTATGCTGTGAACACCATTGGTTAATAAAGAATCTGTCTTAGGCCTGTGATAGGGTAGAGTAGAGCCAGTCAAGGAAAACTAAACTGAATGCGGGGAGGAAGAGGGTGGAGTAAAGGGAGAAGCCATGGAGACACCGCCAGAGACAGACATGCTGAAACTTTGCTGGAAGGCCATGATCTCGTGGTGATATACAGATTAATGGAGATGGGTTAAATTAAGATGTAACAGTTAGCCAATAAGAAGCTAGAGCTAATGGGCCAAGCAGTGATTTAATTAATATAGTTTCTGTGTGATTATTTCAGGAGTCTGGGTGGCTGGGAAAACAAACAAATGGCATCCTACAACACTCACCCATTCATTCATCCACCCATCCATCCATCCACCCACCCATCCACCCACCCATCCATCCATCCATCCATCCATCCATCCATCCATCCATCCATCCTCCCATCCATCCATTTATCCATTCACCTAACCATCCACCTATCCACCCACCCATCCATCTATCCATCCACCCATCCATGTGATTAAAGGCACCCAGTGCCACCACACCCTATTCCATCAACTTATTAATGTTCATATGTCAACATATATAGAAAAAGGGAAAACTTACTAAAACAAAACAAAACAAAAAACCCAGAGCACTTTAAAGCAAAGTGACAACCCCAGACTGCAGCTGGCTGTGGTGACTAACAACTGTAATCCAGCTCTAGGGAGGCCGCAGTGTGAAACTGAGTTCAAGATGAACGTGGTTTTCACAGTGAGACCATGTGCCCACACCAAGCACTGTCATGTCCAACCACTACACCAAACATCCATACCTGGCTAGAGGGTAAGTCTCGTCTCCCATTCCTTCCCACAGTCTGCAGCCGCCGCCCCAGTAGCCAATGTTCAGAACGATAATACCTTCCAAATTAGGCAGTTCAACTCGCTCACCATCCAGTTCTAGCTTTAAAGAAATGTAGGTAGTCACTACAGGGCACCCTATTTCCATACCTATCTACCCGGAACTCAAACTTTAACACGCATATTCAGATGTGAGACATGCCCGAGGGGAAGACAACTCCACGCATACAAGGCAACCTGGCTGTTCCTTTTCTTCATACAATGGAATCAATTCTTTTACAAAAGATGTTTATCCAAGTATTTTATGTGTTTGAATGCTATCTTCATATATGCCAGAAGAGGGCTTCAGACCCCCTAGAACTAGTTACTTGGGCTCCTTGCTCTGTACAAAATAGAGAAAGCAGCATGGCACCTTACATTCCCAAACTGGGAGCCTGGCACTATCTGCGCTGGATTCCCCACTGTCAATCAGTAGGAAACCAGATGACACTGCCTGCTTGCACTCCCTTCCCCCGTAAATGTTTCTACAGGCCGTGTACTCCTGCCTCATTCCCTTCTCATGCACCCTAACACATCAGCTGGCACAACCAACACGCCACCACTCCCTCATTACAGCCTTTACTGGCTTACCCTGGCACCCGAGGCAGAATTCAAGTTCCAAACAGTCTGCTATGATAGGCCATGGGCTGGCACCTCTGTCTGGATGTCTAAGACTTGGCTCTCAACCTCTCCTCCCTGCAAGCCATGTTCTGCAGTGAAGCTCTCTCTCTTATACATATCTGGGCTCCGTAGGCTCTGGGTTTGATTCCTAGCACCACAGTCAATAAAACTTTGATGGAGACTCTTGCAATTCCCTCCCTGCTGGGTGGCTTCTTGAAAGCTTTCTGCTAAGGGTTTGCTGGACAGCAGCAGCTTTCTGGGCTGGCGCATCAGGCTCCTTACTGCACGCCCATGCTGTCTGTTCTTTCTCAAGACGTTTATCATTCCCACCCCTTCTTATTTTACAATAGATCTGGGGTTGTCTAGTTAATGTTTCTGTTGTTGTTAACTATTACAGACTCTTTCTAGAAGCAAGGAAGATACACAACCGCTATATATGATGTCAGGGGTCTGCAACAATACATAGTCAACAATGCCTTATTTATACTGTTTATATATTTTTTTTACTTGCTTTAATATGGTAAGAGATATCATACAAAACATGAATTAATCTTTTAAACTTTCATGAGTATTCAGATGAGTCTGCACTGTGTTAGGAAACATAAAGCTGTTATCTTCTTACCAGTTAAGCAGATTCTGGAAACAAACCAGGGTCCAAGTTGTGAATACTAGTTCCTGTGACCTTGAACCATGTGACTTGAATTTAAAATAATTTAAAATAGTTTTGCTGTCTCTGGGAATCTAGTAATGCCTGACATATATGTTTGCATTGACAATTTAGAGGAATAAGGACTATAAAGAATTCACTCAAGTGGAGGCCATCAAGAGATGGCTCCTTGGTTAAAACACCTGCTAGTCTTACAGAAAACCCAGGTTTAGTTCCTAGGCACTCACAAGGCAGCTTACAACTGTCCTGAACTCTAGCTCAAGGGATCTGCTCCCCTCTTTGGGCCACTGAGGCACACAAGTGTTGTACTTACATATATGCAGGTGGAACACTCATATACATAAAAACAAGCAACTTTGGGCTGGAGAGATGGCTCAGTGGTTAAGAGTATTGCCTGCTCTTCCAAAGGTTCTGAGTTCAATTCCCAGCAACCACATGGTGGCTCACAACCATCTGTAATGAGGTCTGGTGCCCTCTTCTGGCCTGCAGGCATACAGACTGACAGAATATTGTATACATAATAAATAAATAAATAAATAAATAAATAACCACCCCCCCCCCCCCCCACAAAAAAAAAAAAAAAAAAAAAAAAAAAAAACACAACAACAAACAGAAAACCCACAACCCAAAAAAAAACAACCAAGCAACTTAAGCAAGTGTCTGGCATACGAATGGACACTCGACATCCATGAACAAAGTATATTTACAGAAAACGACTCAGCATTTGTTAAAGAACTTCAGAATTCAGACATCTTTAGAAAAGGCATTAGTAGCTTACCTCAATTTTTTTATTCAAATCTTTACACTCTTGCACTAAACAATCTTTAGTTCCATAGAATAAATAGACAGCCTGTGAAAACAGAAATTAAGGCATGAAGAAGACACTACAGCAAGGCTCCTGCTATGCTGTAAGCCATTGCTTCCCATGTGGCCTGGACACTGAGGGACAGAGAAACGGGGAAGCCTCTGGCATGCGACCCGGGTTCACACCCTTCTAATACCCGTCCGGTATTTCATTTCATCATCAACGGTGGCAGGAGGAGTCTAGGTGAACTGTGGCCAGGACACATGAAACGCTAACTCTCTCTCTTTGGAGATAGGGTCTCATGTAGCCCAGGCTGGCCTAAAATTTGATACTTAGGTTGAACTCCTAATCCTCCTGCCTCTGCCTCTTGGGTACTGAGATTGCAGTTGGTTGGTTGTCACCCATCTGGCTTTATGAGGTGCTGGGGGTTAAACCCAGGGCTACATGCAACTGAGGCACTGGTGGCTGAGCTGCATTTCTGAACCCTCTCTCTCCTCGGATAGAGTCTTCCTATGTAGTCGACTGCCTTGACTTTGTGGTGATTCTCCTGCCTCAGGTCTCCCATTCTGTTACAATTACAGAATCATCACTCTCTTTAAAGGTGACAATAAAACCCATTATTTTTTGGTTTAACTACTCTGTTTTTCAGAGGGAATGTGGGATATGGTTGCGATGGTTTGTGTTCAAATAATACCGCCTCTTGACTTATTTGAAAAGTATATTTTATAAGACTATGTTGAAATAAGAAAATTCTATTTTTTTCCCAGTACTCCAAATTATTAAGGAGAATGCATATAAATCTAGCATACATTGTCTAAACACTTTGGAATATAGAAAGGTTGATAGAAAAACTGAAGTTGCCAACTGTATAAATAGCAGTCTTTATTGTCTTAGCAACACTATTTTAAATAAGATTTTATTCTATGTGTGTGGGTGCTTTGCCTAAATGTATGTCTATGCACTACATGTGTGTTTAGTACCCATAGAGATCAAACAGAGCATCTGATTCCCTGGAATTGGAGTCAGAGGGTCGTGAACTGTCATGTGGGTGTTGGGGATCAAACCCTGCTCCTCTGCAAGAGCGTCCAGTGACCTTAACCACTAAGTTGTCTCTGCTGTCCCCTCCTGTCTTATTATTTTATTAAGAAAAGGGAACTAATGTCTGTGAAAGAGCTCTCCCTGAAAATTGTGATTATTTTTGCATCTACTAGATCCTGTAATAGTTGTTGTTACGGTGCCTTTTTTTATTACCAGTCCCAGCAGTGATCACTGGAAGACAAAGAGATATTTAAAAAATGATCTGTATGATTAATAAAAGTACTAATACAATAGCAACAGTATTAGCAGAAGTTAATCAAGTGATGGGCAAATTGAGAACCACTGTTTTAGAAAACATAGCTACTATAGAGAATTTTTGCTCAAGCATAATCTTGGTGCCAGTAATTTCCTGGCACGTGCTGCTTTAGTATGTCAGATTTCTCTCATATTATCTATCAGTCGTCAAATTGATAATCTACATAAATGATGATGGGTGGTGGTGGCGCACGCCTTTAATCCCAGCACTCGGGAAGCAGACGCAGATAAATCCCTCTGAATTTGGGCCAGCCTGGTCTACAGAGTGAGTTCCAGGACAGACAACACTACACAAAGAAACCTTGTCTTGATAAAACAAACAAAAACCAAACAAACCAAAAAAAACCCAACAAAAAAAACCCACCAAAAAAACCTCGAAACAAAACAAACAAAATGCACACAAACACACACAAACGTGTACATACACACACATGGGAGGGGATGATGACAGCGATGACAAAAATCTCCCTCCCGAGTGACCTCTGAATGACTATCATGGTTAAGATAGCTTTCTCCTTTCCTTGGCCCCTGCTATCCATGCAGTTCTCTTATGCTTGCCTAGAACAGCTAGAGTAGCACTGTAGGGAGGTATTGCACTGAGCCTTGGGCCCTATTACAGCCACAATTTATTCTCTTTAAAATATAAAAAGAGAGGAATATTGGGGCCATCGAGGTCTTTATGCTCACAGTTGTACACACAGGGTTGTTTCTTCAGGGGAAGGAATGCAAACCTGTTCTCTGCCCAGAGGCTGAAGCTTCCTTGCTAATCTGGTGACCTTTGCACTACCTGTGTGGCCAGAGATTTGCTGGCACCAGATCCTCCCCCAGACCCTTACCCTAAGTTTGTTTTTCTGAGTCAGTCTATAGAACCCATCTTTATGGGCTTTATAAAGTGCTTCAGTGGAGTCACGTCTGGTGTGTATTTAGCTTACTTTGTTCCCAAGGAGATGTACGCACGCTTTGTTGTTTATGAGGGACTGAGTTAGTTATCCCCAGAACAGTTTCCACCAAACTGTGCTGTGCTTAAGATGCCTACAACAAACCACTTGGGGCCAGACTGCTGAAGTCTGAACCAACATGCGGTACTGAGTCATGATGAGCAGAACTGCCTTCTTGCCTCCTGAAGTTTATCTCTGCTGTCCATGAAGGATGCAAGGACATGCCCCCATGAAATGTGTATATTTCATACACAAATAGTATAAAATTTCAACTATTTGTAAAACATAAATAAGGATAAACTAATGTGTATTTATCCTTCACAGTCAAGTCACTAGGAAAAAACATGCTAAGCAGACTTAGGTTTGGTGGAGCACACCTTTAATCCCAGCAAAGGCAGGTGGAGCCCTGCAAATTCAAGGCCAGCCCAGTCCACCTAGTGGACTACACAGAGAGACCCTGTCTCCAAAAAAAAAAAAAAAAAAAAAATCCAGAAGCAATAATAACAACAAATCAAATACAAACAAGCCAAGTGGGTGTAGTGAATGCCTATAATCCCAGCACTTAGGAGGCAGAGGCAGGTGGATCTCTGTGAGTCTGAGACCAGCCTGGTCTACAAATGAGTCCCAGGACAGTCAGAGCTGTTATACAGAGAAACCTTGTTTCTCAAAAATACCAAACCAAACCAAATAAGGAGTAGGGATCAGCCCTGTTAGGAATTGGAGTGATGACTTCTGTTAAGAGTATAAGAGTCATGGGAACAAAAGCCCCTTTCCTTATCTCATTTGCCTTGTGGGGCTTTCCTAAGCCAACAGAATATAGTTCTCTATTAGTGACTTAACCAAAAATTTATCTTCCATCTGGGTGATGGTGGCGCATGCCTTTAATCCCAGCACTCCAGAGGCAGAGGCAGGCGGATCTCTGAGAGTTTGAGGCCAGCCTGGTCTACAAGACCTAGCTAGTTCCAGGACAGGCTCCAAAGCTACAGGGGAACCCTGTCTAGAAAAAACAAAAAAACAAAACAAAACAAAAAAACCCTTTCAGCTATTTAAGACAGACGTTAACATACTCCAATTAACTTCCATCTAAATAAAATATCTCAACTTTCTAATTTTAAAACTCTTGTTATAGCAACAAAATAAATTTGTGGATCTTAATTTGAAACCCTACACAAAGCCGAGCATGTAAATGTTGCCATAAGTCAGTCTGATCGGAATCTAAGAGTGCTGAATATAATTGAACTATGGATTTTTACTGTACCTTCAGCGATAAGAAGGAAATGTTATTTTATTCCACACACCTTGTTAAGAATTCTGCTGGAAAACAGAGACGGTGACTTCTCACGATGAGCGTGAAAATTGAGAGCCATGAGGGCATCAGGTCCAACAGAGAAGTAGTTGTTCATTGTGAACTCCTGTGAGAGAGGAAGTGAAGGTGACTCCAGCAGCAGCGCCACCCACTGGTCAATCCCAGTCTGCATTCTTCTTGCAAATGGAATATTTTCTGAATTTACTTTTCACAGACTATCAGAAACTGCCAGTGAAGTTGTGGGCTAGTAACTACAGACACGACTCCCACTTCTACTCAGCACGCCATATCTCATACCATCTGGAATGGCTCTGGCATTCTCTCT